GATGGATGATGGATGGGTGGATGGATGGATGATGGATGGATGGATGGATGGATGGATGGATGATGGATGGATGGATGATGGATGGATGGATGGATGGATGGATGGATGATGGATGGATGGATGGATGGATGGATGGATGATGGATGGATGGATGATGGATGGATGGATGGATGATGGATGGATGAAAGACCAAATGAATGAACTGAAATGAAATGAATGAAAACTAAAAGGCTTTTGGTTTTTTATTTTTTTGTGGCCTCTGTGAGACTTTAATTTATTATCAATTAAACTCCCAAAAATTAGTTTTCACTTATTTCCAATTGGTCCACCTGCTGTAATAATAGGTAATTCACGATTAATCTTAACATGGCCAAAAAGAACATGACTCTGGTTTAATTTATAATTTAATTAAACTTTATCACATTATTTAACTTATTTCTAAGTGAAATAATATGTTAACCTTTTTCTATCATCCATTTTTAATAAACTTTAGTAATTAGGTCGTCTTTCTAACTGTTGCTGCTGTAGAATATATCAGCATCATCTGCAAACAGAACGAGTTCCACGACTTCAGACACATCAAAGAAATATTTATGTATATAGAAAAAGGTTTTGGGCCCCTGGGGGCCCCCACATGAAATACCAAGATTTTCCAAACTGTGATGACCTATTTGAACATATTGAACTCTACCTGTTCAATATCCCTCCAGTTCCATGTTTGTCTAACTTGTCCAGTAAAATAAATGAGTTTGTTGAATCAAAGTTTTCATAAAATCGAATAAAATACCAACAGCATAATTATGGTTTTAATGGTTATTTGTTTTATTTTGTCTTTCGCCATTGAAGTGGTTCCTTCAATTCTAAACCCAAACTGACCGACATTATTTTATGTTTGTCCAGAAAATTCTCCAGTCTACAATTGAACAATTTTTCTAAAATATAGAAATTTGAGGCCTTAGAGAAATTGCTCTATAATTGGAATAATGGAGTTTATCATTACTTTTTATAGTGCTATTGCTTAACAATTTTCATTTTTTTAGAAAAGCGACCGGACTGGAATGATAAACTGAAAACATAAGTTAAAGGCTTTAAAATTTTCAAAATAACCTTTTTAACAGCGAACGTACTGATATCCTGACAGTCAATGGATGACAGTAGGTGAGAGAAATAATGACCATAAAGTTTAATAATTTATTTCCTGAGAATATAAATGCATTAAAATCCCTTCAGTTTTTCTCCAAAGCAAGGCCAACAATTCCCTCTAACGACCCCCCTTTCAGAGACATAGACAGGTATGAGGCATTGCAAGCTAACAAAGAAGCCAAGTGACCCCCATTCCAAAGGGGGGGACCCGTTCATCCGTTTCTATTAGCATGTTTTCTAAACATGCTAATTAGGTGAGTCCTCAGGTAACTCGCTACCTGAGGACGGATCAGCCAACGACGGCTGCAGTCAAACGTTTCTTTGTCAAATGATCGTTTTATCCTAGTGGGCCTCAGCAGATGGCCGCTCACACTGAGCCTGGTTCTGCTGGAGGTTTCTTCCTGTTCAAAGGGAGTTTTTCCTCTCCACTATCGC